AGCCAAATACTTTAAGAAATGCATAATTAGGCTCACTCCGGAAATTTCAAGGGGTTAGTGGTACCTTGAATTATCCGATGCTAAAATTTATTGGGTTCGCTTTGCAATTTTGTTGCCTCCGTTGGTTTAAACGTCCTGTCTGTACAAGCCAGAATCTTTGGATCAGACCCTTGATATTTATGTGGAATGTGTACTTTTTCTAATTTTTTGTGTTCCATGTCCAACCAGTCTTTGGTATTTTTTGATATTGAACCACCTCAATTGAAATTTAGTAAACAGGAAAGTTATGTTTGTGGGGTTTTTGGCAATACCGGATTTGGTACGAGTCTTCCACCAACTTAAAAAATGTAGTGCTTTCACTATGATGCCAAACTTGGTCAGAATTTTCCCCCATAGGCGAATCCTGAAACAAACGAGAATTTACAATTATTTCCTGAAGGCTGGCTGTCAAAATTTAACAAGCACTTCTGCCCCCAGGAACAATCAAACGCCCTGGCTAAATGCACACATATTTTCACTGACATAATGCTTGCTCAGAAAGTCTTAAAAAATAAGTTTAAAAAGAAATTATCAGGAAGCCTTAAGAAAGAATATTCTAAATGTCAAAAACCATTGAAGATTTTATTTGGAAGACTTTATATGGATATTCTTTTTACCAATAGACCTAGTTGGAGTTTCCACCCTAAGGATATCAGAAAGTTTAAGTTATGACTGGAGCATCAACGATTTCTTCCTCTTCTTCTTCTTACTATTATTATTATTTTTGGTTTCTTTTCTGTTCTCCCCCATGTGATCTGCACTCACACTACTCATGCAATAGACAATGCCACTATTCCCAACCTGTTTTGGCATGTGTTGCAAAATCTTTAGATTTAAGTGCAAACCTTGGGAAGTTTGATAAATCCTCCACACTTCATTTTTTACTTAAATTCCTTCATCATTTTATTAGCTGTTTGGTCGCAAGAGAATCTTATGGTCAGGAGTGCCAAGTTATTTTGTGTAAGCATATGCTTTTCTTTGATGCTGATTAGGACTTGATCTCATAGTGACTTGATCTCAAGTCCTTAGGTGGGGTTGAATATTTCGTTTACACTGCAAACTTGCTTTTAATTCTGGAATAAGTAAATTGGAACTGAGGGATCCTACCTTATCAGAGATACTGCCTTTGTTTGGCGCATAGAGGTTCTTACCGTTTGACATTCTTTGCTCTTGCGGGCATGGGGTTGAGGTTTCATTCTACTGCCTTGCTAGTTCATTATGTTGTATGTAAAGTTATATGGTAAATCAGCATCAGAATGATTAATACCGTCATCATCAGCAGCAGCGGCGGCATCATAATATCACTCAGTAGTGTTAGGAGGTCATTAATGGTCTAAGTCTAACGTTTGAGCTAGAGCCAAACTGATTGATTTGACTAGAGTGCTTTGACCTGATTTTGGTTATGTAATTGAGTAAAAGCTCCATCTATATGTCCGGAGTGTGCTCTTTGTTTATACAATTTTGGTTAGTATTATATCATGTTTGGATGCCAATGAATCTGTTTGCTTTTTCTTTTTTCTTTTTTAAATTTTTTCTTAGTTTAATGGTGTAATTAATTGTTGTTACTATTGTATGATATGTGATACGATACGTTGCGATACATGAAGAAAATGATATGTATTGCTTAAGGGTATTTGTTTGCACCGTATTGTGCATTACACGATAGAAGATGATACATACGCGTCATGCAATACGGGGGCTAAACAAAGAAAAAAAAATTTTAATTAATTTTTTTAAAAACTAGGTAATAAAACGTCGTTTCATCATCTACAATTTTAAAAAATGTCTTCTTTTTTATTTGTTTCATCGCATGAGCAAATAGTTTGATTGTTAAAAGTAAGATCCTTTAGCTATTTTAAATGTTAAAACTAGAACTCTCTAAATTTTGATATTGATGAATTATGTTAGAAATTTTAATATTTAAATTGTTAATTTTTTGTTTTGGTCCTTGAAGTTTCTTTAAATTGTTTTTTGTGAGAAATTTGTGGTGAAATGAAGTGTTATTATGATATTTTGTCATAGGTATATGTATTTTTTAATGTTTTTTATAAAATTGTACGTATCTTACGATACTTGCGCTACAATACGCGATATACTGTTTTTTAAAAATGAAAAGCTCTTCAATACAAGTTTTGACAAAGTGTAATATGTTTCCAATGTGATTGAAATTGGCTTGAACAAATTTTCCCCGTTAATCAGTCTGATGGCATTGTAATTAACTCACAAAATTAGATTTTAAAACATGAGAGATTTTATCAATGGTGATGTAATTGTTGCGGAATTACAGCACTGGATAACTACTACATTTGGCATGTTCTTCTTCTTGTATGATGCACTTAGCGTCTGTGTTTTGGAGACTTGTTTTTGTATATTCCCCGTGTAAAATATGGGATGCTGCTAAATTTCAGTTTTTGGAAGGCTGTGATATTTATTCTTTTGTAGTTTGATGAATTCCCGGGATCTTTTGTTGATCAATACATATTTTTTTATCTGCATGCAGATACCACCAAAATCAACATGTGAATTGGATGCGCCAAAATATGAGCAAGGAAGTTCTCTCGGCTTTAAATGATAACATCACATCTCTCCTTAATATGGTATGTTAGCTTGTTTAATGGAGTATTACATATGTGGAGAGAGCTGATGGGGCCATAAATGCGTCGACTTGATTAGTATCTTTAGAGGAACTGGTAACAGGCTTTAGGTTTGAAATAATTTTAAATCTTCTTGGTTTATTGCTAGCTGATGTTCATCTCTGACTTGTTTAAACTGGTTTGAGGTAATTAGTGGTGTGATATCTCTAGAACTTCGTGGACTTGTGCATCTGACATTATAAACTGGTATGTGGTAGAATAGTGAAACTCCTTTTGGATAGTAGTCTATATGAGCTTTTGCCCAGGCGGATATGTTTCTGGTGATTTTCCATCTTGGTTTATGCCCATTGTTATTTTCTTTTTCATTTGCCTCTATAATTTTGCTTTAATAGCAGCCAGAGATATCGGCTGCTGTGAGGCGAGGCTTCGCTCACTGCTTGTAGGAATGGTGTGCAGAAGAGAGATGATTTGCCTTGTGAATAACAATGTTGGGAGGATAAAGAGAGACTGCTGTGTGGTTGGAGACAATATTTGGGCAGGTTGCTGTTTTTATACCGAGCTGGAAATTGGAGGTTGAAATACAACCCAAGTAATCCAAGTGGGATGAAAAATAGGTTAAACGTTGCTTTGGTACCCAAATTGTGTTGGGTACCAAATTATCAAAGTTAAAATGAATGCAATGGTGGTACAATGTTGTCTAATGTAAGTATGTTTTGGTGGATGGGAGCCTGTACTCTAATTTACTGGGGATGATGAAAGCTTGTACTTCGTGCTCAGTAAGTAGGCATATTTTGTTTGAGAGTAAAATATACTTTAGTCCCTAAACTCTATGGATAGTGTTTATTTAGTTCTCAATCTTCCAATCGTGTTTATTTGGCTTCTAAAGTTTTTAATTTGTATTTACGTGGTCTAATTTCAAACGTTCGTTAGAATATCGTTGACGGCTTTAGTCACATGTCAATTTGGTGGGATGAAATAGGCAAATTAGAAATTTTAGAGATCAAATAGACACAAAATTAAGAATTAAGTGATTGACATGTGATTAGAACCGTAAATTATTTCAGACAGATTTTTGGGATTATAATATGTAGATACAAATTAAGAACTTTTAAGAATTAAATAAATGCAATTGAAAATTTGGGAGATCACAAATGTGTTTTACGCTTTGTTTAAATTCTTCTAGGGGGCAAACACAAAGTCAGGGTTTCAGCGAAGGTATTTCTTGACTAAAACACTACAGGAAATTAAGGATTTGTTTGTTTAGCGAGAAATTAGAAGAAAATACAAGAAAGAAATTTTGTAAATTTTTATGTGTTTGGTTAGCATAAAAAAGAAAAAGATAAAAAATAGTAATTTTTTTTATGTTTGAAATTTTTCACAATCATTTTTTATTTTTTTGCAAAAAAACACAAAAAAAAATGTAAGAAAATCGTGATCTATAATTACCTTTTATTTTATTTTTATTTTTCTTAAAATATTTTTTTTGTTAATAATTTTAAAAAAATTTGGTATGAGTTTAATTAATCATATAATTTGGTCCGAAGATTTGATGTTAGTGATTGTTCTAGAATTAGGTTTCCATCTACTTTTAAAAAAAAAATTAACTTTCAATTATAAAACATTGATTTAATATAATTAAGGATAATTTACATAATTATAAAAACTTCTTGTAATATTCCTTTCTTTTGAACAATAGAATAAAATTTGTTATAAAATTTTCATTCCAAACTAAATACATGTATGAAAATATATTTTTCATCATTTTCTTTTCTTTTACTTTATTTTCTATTATTTTCCCTTTTAATAATTTTTTCTTCTAACCAAACTGTCCCTTAGGGTTATTATCATATGAACCGAGGGTTTCAGTTCAGTGCCTACCCCACCCCCAACAAAAAGAGCTCCCGGTATGCGGTTGAGCCATACCCAAAGCGATGTATGTCATAAAAAACCCTGGCCAAAAAATGCCCTAGAATAGATTTAGAGAGTGAAGCATGAAACAATGAGGAAGCCTATAAAAGGATGCGAATTCCTACAATGAAGGGCATGATCCTTAAAATGAATAGTATAAAATACCAAGCTCCATTTATTTACATAACTTTTAAAAATTTTCGGATGACAACAAACGAAGACCTGTTAAAGTGAAGTGGAGTGACCAGAGAAATTGATCTGACTCGGAGTTTCCTCAGCGTGTGGGGGAAGGAGCTACCGGATATGTACTGGATCTGGAGACTATGCATCCAAGACATATCCTTCATGCTTTTCATCTTGAAGTTCATACAATATGTTGGTTTGTGATTCTTTGTGTGCTTTTACCATCAGAAAATTGCTCTCTTCCCCTTCCCCTTCCCCTTCCCCTTCCCCAGCCTAAGCAAGTATATAACATGTATTAATGTCAAAACTTTGCAAATTATATGCAATATTTCAACCTTGAAGCTCTTCCAATGTGTTGGCTTGTGGCTTTGTGAATAGGCTGTTATCATATCAAAATGACCTTTTTTCTTAGGGCAACCATGGGTATGGATAAAACTTATATTGAATAAAAAAACCTCGCAGATTTACATATTCTACCTTGTGGTGCAATGGTTTAAATACCTAAATGGCACTGGAAGAAGCAAAAATTGCCTGTTACTGAAACTTGGGGGTGTGAGGATCAGTTCTTACAACGTGGGAGGAGATACATCAGCTCCAGTTGATGGGTCCCACCCAGGAGGTTTGATGTTCGGCCAATCGCCTCGACATCCCAACCGTATGTATAGACTCTTTTTACCTTCAAAACAGCAAATGAGTTTATGGTCAGTAACAGGTTATTAGTACTCCACATTCATGACCATAATGTAAGCCGCCCTCCACTCTGTTTCTTCTCTTCTTTCCCAGTGTCGGGGCTTGGGGCTTGGACCTCCACCCTGTACCTCAATGTATGCATCTAATGCATCCCCATGTTCCATCTTTTATTCCCATAAGGAGAACAGAAGTCGTGTATTTTATCAGTGAAAAATGATTTGCTTATAATGTCTGATGCAGATAACAATTGGTAAGGGATAGACATGATTAGCAATTTCAACCATTTACCAAACAATCAACTGTAGAACCTTCAGAAAATATATCTCTGGTAAATAGTTGTTGTTCAGGAAATTTCTAGATCCATAACCATATATAAGGTAGGAAGGAGGTAGTTCATCCCTTCGAGTGGCCACAAAAGACGATATGATAGCCTATTAATAACTGAAAGCACAAAAATCCTTTTAATTATTGGCTTCAAGTTCAACTTTGTCTAATTTATCCATGTCCAAGTGATTATTTTAGAAATTTCTTAAAAGGAACTGAACATGGTAATGAGATGGCAGGAACCTGGAAGCTTCTTATCTGACAGAATCAGGCGTTTGAGGGCACTCAGTGAAGCCTGGGCCACAGTTTTAGAATAGGCGGCATCCCAACCCCCAAGCTTGACTACCACGTCTGCATTAGAGTAACCTTGAACACCGTCTTGGATGTGCTTCCTGGCCTCCTCTTTTGCTGAATCTTCATCTGCAATAAAGTTGGCGAAAATCAATACGAAGTAAATAAATTTAAGTAGCAATAGCAAGGATGTGGTCCTCTACGCCACAGATAAAAGGAAAAATGGCCTGAAAATACTGCAGCTGGACACCTGGCATATATAGTGTGGCACCTGATCAACTGCTATATAGGGCCGCTGACAATCTTGTCCATTGAATTAAAGGACAAAATAAAACAAAACAAACAGCATCAGGAATTCATTCCTTGGATCATACAAATTAAAATGTTGCATTGAGATGAGCCTTCGCTCTCGAAACCTGAATGAGGGTATGGGTTGGGAACACCTCGAATGATCAAAAAAGTTAGGATGGTGCATTGAATTAAAACTACTAGTCACCTCACTTCTCATATACCAGGTCAATAGAGCAGGACTACATCAGCAAGTTGATCGTAGGAACCATCACACCAGCTAGATACTAACAAGCATGGATACTTCTAACTTCTAAGTAGAAGCCCTGTACGCAACGGACACATGCCAAATACAACTTAAATGTGCAATATTTCATGAAAAGAATTCTTGATTCTGGATATGATTGCCTGCACTTCTGGAATACTCCCCCAAAATGCAATCAACAAACCATAAATGTGTGGAAACATTTTATTTTAGCATGAGCACAGAATATATAAATGTATATTTATATGCACATCATATTGTGTGTCCACAGTCCACACATACAGATTTGTTGTGTCCTTGATGTACATTTTCCTACACGACATAGGTACTACTAAACATTCTTTTCCCCACATCCTCTCACCTTCAACACTAAATCTGCATAGAAATTCTTACCTTGTTCATGAAGGATAATAGGTCACCAATCAATGAAAATTGGCCTTTATTTAGTTATTCTCTATGAATTTGAAATATAAAATGCCATCCCAATATTCAATAGAATCCATGTGTCTCACACCAGATATGCTAATGATTTGTTTTTTGCTGAAAAAAGGGAAAAAGGGGGATAAAGACATTGTTAAGTTTAGAGGATTAACATAATATTAGAGAGCAACAGAGATAGGTTAAAAAACATAACCTAACTCTCATACATCACTTGTATTTATAGTTAACTCACAATAATAAGAATTACACATAATACCCTAACACCAGTGTTATTTAAGGCGTAAAGCAAACCGAAGCGATCAAGGCTCCTAACGCCTAGGCGAGAAGCGAAGCGACACGCTTTACCGAAGCAAAGCGAATAGTTAAAAAAAATATATATTTTAGTTTAATTACTTCTAAACAATCTAAGTTCTAATTTTATATATACTAAATATTTAAATGCAAGTAAAACCATAAACATTTAGAAGATTAACACAATATTAAAGAGCAACAGAGATAGGTTAAAAAACATAACTTATATACATCACTTGTATTTATAGTTAACTCACAATAATAAGAATTACACATAATACCCTAACACTATTAACAATTTACACATACTACCCTAATACTCTTAACCGACATAACTATATGACCCTAACAACTATCCATGTCCCATCATTGGACCTTGCTGCTCATTCCCCGAACCACATAACCTAAACCATACCCATTAACTGATGCAGAGAAATGAAGGGACCAAACCTGAAACACATGTAGCTGCATTGAATAACCAAGCCATAGCAAAATGGTACAACCATGACCAGTCCATGATTAACTGTATATCCTACACATAAGATCCAATTTTTTTTATGGAACAAACACCTTATTAGATTTCTTTTGTATGCCTATTTGTGACATAAAAATGAAAAATATTTAGATATGTTAATTCTTTAGCTTCCACGGTGGAAAAAAAAATTCGTGACCCAGTTTGGTCCCCCAATTTTGGACTAGGTACAAATCTAACTTTTGACATTATTTGCACAAAGTTGTTGCCCACAGATGCAAACCCACAATGTTACGTTTGTTAGCCTGCATTGGTTATTTATTTATTTCTAGGTATTCATTTTGTGGATTTTGATTAAAATTTCATGCAAAATAGCTAAGAACATATGATAACCACATAATCTGCTGTCACGTACTGTGAAACATAGTACAACCAGATAGACTTTTACAACTGCTAGGTAGTTGGAATTTATTTAAGAATTTCTAAGAGTGAGAACAAGTCATGATGGTATTATCAAATCCAACAAGGTTCGCTATTAGAAATTCATCGTAGTGATTAATGGAAGTAGAGCCAAACATAGCTATCCAAATGGACTGCTAAAGGAGGAGGCTGCACAGTGAACAGTGAATATACTGGTCCCATTCCTTTTAGATGACCAGTGCTCTCAAATAGGTTCCAGAAGTAGTACATGGAGTAAGTGATGTATATTCTGTACTAGGGGACGAGAATGAGATAGAGTTTATTCCGGGTTGAAGACACAGAATTCCAGAACTCTGTCTCAGTCTTAAAGAAAGGTAAGAGGAACAACCATTTCGGGAAGGGTGGTAGAAGTGACATCTTTTCAGGCTTCAGGCAGTATTGAATTCTTTTGAGTAAACACCTAATTCGAAATCGATGACAGATAACTTGGTATTCATTTATAAGCTGAGTCGTTGGTGTCCTGAGGGCCCTTCCATTGAATTCCACAAAATCTTCCAAAGAAACAGAAGTAATATAAAAGAGAATTATTGAGGTCAGTAAATTTAGAATCCTGGAAGGAAAGTATACATACTTCTGGAGACCCCTCTTGGAATGATAGCTGTTGAGCTCTTAACAATTGCTCAAAAAGATTATGCTAGGGGCTCAAAAAGGATGTTCTTACTACATATAAAGTAACAAAACAATTGCTCTCAACAGAGTCCACAAGAGTTCCTTTCCTGTTGAAATATAACCAAAAGATCAAAGGCATCACCTGTAGCTTCAGATGGTGACAGCCAGACCGTAAATCCTGCATAAAGATGTCGCCACTTATCGGCCCTTCCAGCAGCACCATGCTGCCCTCCTAATGTTGCAACAACAGCACGAACATGACTGTAATATCAAACGAATCCTAAATAAGATGGTCTAACTTTCCCCAGACCAATATTCAATTACAAATTTTGAGCCAAATTACTTGCCTACTGAGGCTCTCCAGTATTGCACTTTCTGCTTCTGCTACAGTATCAGACCCCTCTGCAATCACCCCTGGAATCGATTACACTTGTTAATTCACTGCAAAATTGGCGGCCAGATGTCATTTTGTGCAATCTTTCGGGTGACGTTTTACATGTAATGTTGTCAATATCTTGTAGCAAAAAAAAAAAATTACCCAAACAAAAGTTAAAAGCTTCATTTTATCATTAGAATTGATCCTTGTTATTGTATTCACAATTACTATAAAAAATTATCAACACAATTATTTTCATGCAAGATCTGGTGCCATATTTAGAGCACACTTGACAATTCATATTGACATGATAACATCATATTTACTTTATGACATTCCATTGCTAAGACATATTAAGAGAATTGAAGCAAAAGTGATAGTCATCAATTTAGAAAAGATACTTGTCGTCATGGAGATGTTCAACAAAGAGAGAAGATTTAGTCAAGAAAAAATTACACCCAGAAAAAATGTTAATATATTAGACGAAAGGCACAATATCTCTTCAAGTAGCTTCGCTAAACACATCACTTTGCACCTGGAATTTTCTGCCAAAGCAAAGCAAGCCTTTGAATCTAAAATATATCATCTATCTTTATATATTTTTCAGCCTTTTTAAGGGGTTGGATATGATTTGGGAGTGAGAGAGAGTGATCAGCTTGCAATCATGATTCATGAACCAATGTCGTGAGCTACTCAGAAAACTAGCCTCGCGAATAACAAGTACAACTTTACTCACATGAATCAATGGTTTGCTTTGCACATGTTTCCAGCAGCTCTTTTGTATTGAGTGGTGTGTACCTGACAATACAAACCAACAGGAGAACTCTTAGAACACGAGATCATCAAGCCCAAAGCAATGTAGAATCATCCTAAAAAAAACGCAGACTCCCCATTTTTTACCAAGCCACAGATTTACTAAAACATTCACCATTAGAGGTAATTTGCCAGTATCAGACTCGTGTTTGTTAATTGACATACTGGGTCTGCTAAAGGCTACTAAGATTAGACAAAGAGGATTCAATACCCACGGTGGTAATATGAGAGATTGTATTAGCTGACTAACATCAATGTAGTCTAATAATCTATATTCGGTGCAGTGGAAAGAAGTGTCTGTTTGTAAAAAAACAGCATAGAGTCAGTATTATACTATTATTTTTCCATTCTGCAGATGAGGATGGTATTGGAGGGGATGCAATTGGTGATCATGTTAACAGGTGTTTTGAACGTTTTATGGATGTACAAAAATATCATCTTTATCTGGTTTTTGATTGGATAAAGCTTACATCTAAGCTCGAACTGCTTACAACCAATCAACTACTCATCAAAGCCAATGTGAGACCCTAGCTACATCTGAATAAAAGACATTCAACCAGAAATTGAACAAAAGGACATGAGTTAGTTCCGATCAAAGATGAAGAAAAGCTTCGGAGCTAAGAAAAAAAGAACTAAGCAACAAAGAAAATTTTTGTGAACCACAAGAGATTCAAAAAAAGATCCAAATCAAGCATGACAGAGCTCCAGAGCTTCAAAAAGGCCACAGATGACCAATAACAATGATGAAAGCATCAAATTTCTACAAAAAAAAAAACAATGAACAATGAGGCTTTACTTAAGGTTTATTATTCCAATTAGCAATAGGACAAGTTAATATGCTGCAAGTTTCCAAAAACTAAGTTGGGATCAATATTAACTCTAATTTATTAAAATAATCCTCATTGACTCATACAAGATACAACTAGCACAAGCCATGCATTGCATTAATAGTAAAATAATTTTGTTAAATTTCCCTATGAATAGATGCACTAGACACCACTTTTTCCCAAAGGAAGAAAGGCCCATACCCAAGACCGACGGCTAGTTCTCGAGCAATTTTTTGGTTGATTTCAGTTGAATCCCCAACTAAATAGATTGATGTTCCTTTCAAGAGTTGCATAACTCCTACTGTAAGGGATTCCCAGGACTCAACAATGTCAGGCCATTTTAAATCAGGGTCTTGCTTCTTCAGGTTAACAACCAACTGATCCTCATCTATGTACCTGAGGAAAAACAATAAATATCAATCTAAAGATGTAATGATCATTTCATGGAGGCAATGAAAATTTATATAAGACTGATTGCACTAACCATATTGTTTCAGCTGGCTTTATCTTTTCATACAAACATTTATTTTCCATGAGAGTCTTGAGAGATCCACGATGTTGCACTCTAATTGCTAAAGAGTTCTCGTCTGCATCTACAAATACATCTTTAGAACTGTGTATGTCTTTGCTTCCGAGTCCTACTCTCAGCTCCACCTCAGAAGAATCATCATAAAACTGCAAAAGGTTTGAGAGATGAAAAATCAGTCAATTTGCATAGTATTTTAGAACCTGTAAGTGGTCTACGGTGTAAGCAATACTTGGTAACTCTAACAAATATTGCTTTCATTTGTAAGGTTGACTTAATTGAGATTAGTTGCTAAAACAATGGCCCTAGTCATTCTTTTTTACCTTTAGAGAGCAGTAACTAACATTATATCAGCACATATAGCTCTTTGAATCAAAAAAATTATCTGAGATAGTTGCTAAGAATCACTCATTCCTCCCAGAGCATAGGCACTCTTTAAGGAAAAATCATGAAAAGAATATGATTAAGTTACATGGTGTGGCAGGAGGAAACAAACAATGGATTCCTAGGAATTGCTGTGTAAGATCAGAGTCCTTCCATAATCTTCCATGAAAAGTTCGTCTAAATACCATGTTCTGTGTTAAAAAGGGTTGCGGAAAAAAGCGCACAAGGTACAGACCTAAACTCCAACATGCAAGCTCATAACTAAAACTTGAGCTTTACCATATGGAACTAGGGTAAAGAATGCATGCAAAAATGGTTTGATTACAAGCTGAGAAACTTTACACATCGGAGGAGAAATCAAACATTTGATAAGGCAAACATGAAGCTTGAGCAGAATATGCTCCTCGCTGAAACTTGCAAGATCAATGACTAAAGCTTAATCAGAACTAGCTGATAAAAAGGTTATGCAATACTAGAGTTTGAAAAACAAAATAGACACCCATCAACTGAAATCACAAGTCCAACACTGACTTTGTTAAATGAGCAGAATAAACTGCTTTTTGAAAAGATGTGTATGTTTGACAGCAAACAACCATGAGGTTGGGCTTATGTTGCCAGTTCACCCCTCCTACACCCTCAATGAACTGGGCCGGCCAAATATAAATCGGGGTTCTAGGCGAAAATATTGCGTTGGACCATTTGACAAGTTAATACAAAGTCGGATGCATTGGGCCCTTTTATTATTATTGTTTTTTTAAAACTTTAAATATCCATAATCAAAATTTCTTAGTTGATGTATTCAAGTTTAGAAAATAATTGTTATCAAAATAAATATTTTAAGCTAGAAATGACTTTACTATGATAAAAATTCAGTATATCATAGAGTTCAAGGAAAATAGAACAGTATCACCTTATAGGTGTAAGATTTGAACGATACATGAGCTTTTTTTGTCTCCCAAATCACATAATCGCACTAACATTCATAAGACGACTCTCAAGTGACTAGAAGTGAAAAAACTAAATAAATTAATTAGGGTTCATGAAAATGATTATCGGTAAGCCTTGAGGTATTTATAATGGTGAATTAACATATCAACATGGGATGAATTGCTTGATACGTGGCATAAAAAGAAATAAAATAGTGCTTAGAATAGGAGTTACTTTGTATTCTTGAAAGGATGTGACTTTCTATTTGGTAAGTTAAAAAAAGGATAAAGCTCAAACAAAAGAAAAACATAAAGAGAATGCTATTATATATATAACTAATCATTAAAAAATAGGACCCCTCCCAGATGGGGGCCCTAAGCGGCTGCATAACCTGCTTTACATTGGAGTCAGCCCTGTCTATAAGGCAATTGTTTGGTGCAGTGCTAATAACATGTTTTATGACATAACAGTTCTTCATATGCCTTTTTTCAAATAAAACAAGAGCAACAACACAACTACACAATGAAATTGGCTTAGAAGATCATTCATATCATGTGGCTAACGAATCACTTTCGGGGAAAACAACTAGGCACATGCGTACAAGTTTATATAGTTTGCAGTATTATGCCATTGGAAATCAAATTATAAGTCTAGTAATGATTCAACTCAACATTATCCATCAACTTCTATTTATATTTCTTCGCTTTTTAATTACTTTTGAATTTTCTCAATTTCAAAGCTGTTCAGTATAAATATTTCTAAATAGTGTCAATTCATCATAGTAACCACATCATGTCCGCCTTTTTAGCAAACTTTACACAGAAATTAATATACATTATTGAAATTATTTTACAATCTTTGGATACAAGTGACAGCATAATCTCCTTTTTCGTTTCCTGCATTTTCCAAGCAACCAAACAGAGTACAGTAAACAGTAGTACTAGGTCAGGTTGAAGAAATACCTCGTAATGCGTCGTGTTTGTGGAAACATTGGAGAAGGTGTTACAGAAAACGCGACTGAATCTCTTGAAAAGGATGAAATTCAAACAAGGAGTTGAGGAAGAAAGGGTTGTAGTAGACAAGAAATTAGGTTTAAAGAAGGAGAGAGAGGTCTTTGGGAACGAAAATTCGAAGGTTTTGTTTGGAATCGGAGAGAAAAAGCAGAGCGTAGTTGGCGCAATGGTGAGTGTAGCCATTTGCGCTTTTGGTTTTTCTGGAGAAGATAAGATATAAACTCTCAAGAAGTCATATAAAAAGGTGAAATCCACTGCCTCACTCCGCCCGCCAGTTGGATTCGAACCGAATCCATATTTTTCTGTCTCTCTTTTTTTTTTAGGTTTCACCAATCGACTCCGGACAAGTTTACGTGCAAAGTATATTTTGATTAATCTTTTATTTAATCAGTGACTATTCATGTCGAGATTACGTATGCTCATTCTTATATTTATGCTCAATCATTTATAATCTTAAATAAATCAAATTAGTTATTTTTCGTACCTGAAAGCACGAAATAATAAAAAAAAAAAATCAACGTATTTGTATTTACATTCAAAATCAAATCATAAATATAGAGCAGAGATAAAAAAATTTAAGCATCGATTGTAGTGGAGTGAGCGGTGGTAGTGGTGGTGAGCGACAGTGAAGATGATGGGTAATGTGACAACTGTGGTAGTGGTAGCAACCGTGTGACAATAGTGATAGTTGTGGTGAGTTTTGAGTGACAATGATGATAGTGACAATCATGAGTGATAACGGTGGTGATGGTAGACAACAGTGATGGTAGTTGACAATAATGATGAGTGACAATGACCGTGGTAATAGTGATAGTTGTGAGTGACAACAGTGATGACAGTAATGAGTGACGGCAGTGGTGGTGGTGGGCGATGACGGATGCTTCTGGATGGATGACAGTATGATGGGTAACGACGAATGACGATGATGATGGTGGCAGTGGGGGTAGTGGTGGGAGTAGTGACGACGATGATGATAGTGGTGCTGGTCGTGGGACGATAGGAATGGTGGTAAAGGTGATAGTGGGACGACAACGGTGGTGGTGATAGTAGAGATGATGGTGGTGGTGATAGTGGTGGGGTGACAGCAGTAGGGATGGTGGTGGTGGGGTGGAGATAATAGCGGCGGTGATGGTAATGGTGATAGTGATAGTAATGTTGGAGTGGTGGGTGTGATGGTGGTGGCAGCGTTGACGGTGGTGGTGGTGGTTTTTGTGGCAGATGTGGTGGTGGTAGGGCAGTGGTGGGGCGGTGGGGGTGGTAGAGGTGGGAGTAAGGGTGAGACGGTTTCAAACACCATTTTTTTTGTTTAAAGCAGTTATAAAAAAATAAAAATTCTTGAAATACTTTTAAAAAATCATCTCAAACACACCCTTAGAAACATATTTTTCTTTTTAAATTTGGGGTGTTAATATTAGCCGTCGAATTAATTTTAAAGTAAAATTTAAAGAGATCCTAACCGCGAAAAGTAAAAGTTATTTTATTTGTCTTTTAATATTTGAATTGTATTGTATTTTATTATATAAATTTTTATGTTGCGAATAACTCATGTTTAGCCTGGTTTTTGTCACGTTTTGCTAAGTTTGTATCAATATATTTATTTAACCAATCTAATGAATTCAATCATTTATCGTACGATCCCATTAGGACATAATTCATGCATGTTAACTCTCTATTAGTTTCGTATTGGATTTGCAACTCATGTCTAAAATTAGCTGTCAACAAGCAAGAGGACAAGAAACCCAATCAACAAGGCACGCCCACTTTTGCGTTGGACCTACACACATACGCTTTGCCAACAAGGCCAATTTTCAACTCCATACTCTCTCTTTCTACTCGAATGTTGTTTCATGTAATGGGCCAAGCCCAACTTCATTGTACATCCTAAATCATCTGAATTTCCATCTTTCTTATTCTACTACATGTTCCGTTGCGGTTCTCCTTTCTAACAGAATAAGTATAATTATATTNTAAAAAAAAAAAATCAACGTATTTGTATTTACATTCAAAATCAAATCATAAATATAGAGCAGAGATAAAAAAATTTAAGCATCGATTGTAGTGGAGTGAGCGGTGGTAGTGGTGGTGAGCGACAGTGAAGATGATGGGTAATGTGACAACTGTGGTAGTGGTAGCAACCGTGTGACAATAGTGATAGTTGTGGTGAGTTTTGAGTGACAATGATGATAGTGACAATCATGAGTGATAACGGTGGTGATGGTAGACAACAGTGATGGTAGTTGACAATAATGATGAGTGACAATGACCGTGGTAATAGTGATAGTTGTGAGTGACAACAGTGATGACAGTAATGAGTGACGGCAGTGGTGGTGGTGGGCGATGACGGATGCTTCTGGATGGATGACAGTATGATGGGTAACGACGAATGACGATGATGATGGTGGCAGTGGGGGTAGTGGTGGGAGTAGTGACGACGATGATGATAGTGGTGCTGGTCGTGGGACGATAGGAATGGTGGTAAAGGTGATAGTGGGACGACAACGGTGGTGGTGATAGTAGAGATGATGGTGGTGGTGATAGTGGTGGGGTGACAGCAGTAGGGATGGTGGTGGTGGGGTGGAGATAATAGCGGCGGTGATGGTAATGGTGATAGTGATAGTAATGTTGGAGTGGTGGGTGTGATGGTGGTGGCAGCGTTGACGGTGGTGGTGGTGGTTTTTGTGGCAGATGTGGTGGTGGTAGGGCAGTGGTGGGGCGGTGGGGGTGGTAGAGGTGGGAGTAAGGGTGAGACGGTTTCAAACACCATTTTTTTTGTTTAAAGCAGTTATAAAAAAATAAAAATTCTTGAAATACTTTTAAAAAATCATCTCAAACACACCCTTAGAAACATATTTTTCTTTTTAAATTTGGGGTGTTAATATTAGCCGTCGAATTAATTTTAAAGTAAAATTTAAAGAGATCCTAACCGCGAAAAGTAAAAGTTATTTTATTTGTCTTTTAATATTTGAATTGTATTGTATTTTATTATATAAATTTTTATGTTGCGAATAACTCATGTTTAGCCTGGTTTTTGTCACGTTTTGCTAAGTTTGTATCAATATATTTATTTAACCAATCTAATGAATTCAATCATTTATCGTACGATCCCATTAGGACATAATTCATGCATGTTAACTCTCTATTAGTTTCGTATTGGATTTGCAACTCATGTCTAAAATTAGCTGTCAACAAGCAAGAGGACAAGAAACCCAATCAACAAGGCACGCCCACTTTTGCGTTGGACCTACACACATACGCTTTGCCAACAAGGCCAATTTTCAACTCCATACTCTCTCTTTCTACTCGAATGTTGTTTCATGTAATGGGCCAAGCCCAACTTCATTGTACATCCTAAATCATCTGAATTTCCATCTTTCTTATTCTACTACATGTTCCGTTGCGGTTCTCCTTTCTAACAGAATAAGTATAATTATATTGAAGTATATAGAATTACCTCGATCGTATGAGGCATGAGCATAATTGCCTTTGTTCCGAAAGCCTAACGAGTTCATTCTTTTGTATTTTTCAAAGGTTGTCCTTTTCTTTCCTCGGACGTTAAATTTTTGCCCCAAGTACGTATCAAAAAATTTCATAGAATATCGATCGCAAAATTATCATTACCATTTTCATCTAGATATCATGTGTTTTTGGGGTGACTTTCTCAACTTCAAAACAAAAGACTATGTGGGCATTCTGTCATGCACATACTTTTTCGATAATAAAGAATCGTCTTAACCATACATTACGTAAACATACGAATATCATATACATAATAACTTGCAAATTAGGTCTAATGAATTTTATGTGGCCAATGTTACTTGAACGTAATAATTATGATGCTTTCCACGGTATTCCAGCCCTCTAAAGTTTGGTTAACTTTAGATAGTAAAATTATTCCATTATAACTATACAATAACAATTCAGCAGCTAATATTCAACCATCTCGTGACACAAACATTGGATACTACTATTGAATTTTGTTGTGAGTAATCAAACTTTGATTATTCAATTTTTATTTTGTAATTGTGATAGATCAAAATGTATGTCTTGATAATCCCTAATTACAAACAATTCAGATTTTTATTTTATTTGGGATATTATAATGACGGATGTCTAAATTAATTTATGTATATATCGATTAATTCTCATTTCGGTTTTGTCAAAGTTAAGTTATTAATATCAAAACTAAAGAATTTATAAATCTCTCGTAGTCTGACATTCAGAGTAACTTATTTTGAAAAAAAAAAATTTGAAAATTATTCTTTTATTTTTCGAAAAAAAAAATAATAGGGTAATGAAAGTGAAATGAGAGAGAGAGGAGAGCGAGCCCGCCTTGAATGCCGGGCAGACCAAGACAGCACAGAGCTTAGAAGAGGCAGTATGGTCTTAATCAATGCCCCTACACTCATTCCCAGAGGTGTACTGTTAGTAGCATTCGAATTTACAAGAGCCCCACACTACCCGGGCCTGCCCGTTGATAAGAAAGAACAAAAGGCTGCTAAACATATGAATAATTGACGGTGCTTTAACAAAAAGTCAGAAGAGCTCACTGAACAAAGGTCCTCACTCGGGCAGGCCCAGTGGTCGTCAGGTCAGCGAGGTGTCAATCATAATACAATAGATTGCAAAATCATTGAATGAATTCTCTCTATCTCTCTCTGAAATCCTGACATGGCCTGCATGGCTTTGTTATACGTCTGTGCGTATGTATATGTATTCATTTTCTTCACCGTATCATAATTTGCCATGACAAGTCGCTTCCAGTGCCACGTGTGTGGAGGAGCTATTTCAATGACTATATATATATATACTAGTTATAATTCGTGCATGAAGGTACAATAAAATATAAATTTGAGCGTTCAAAAAATCGATTTCATTATATTAAATTTTTTTAAATATATTAATTATAATTAAATATTAAATAATTAAATATATGATAAAAATGAGTTATGTGATATTTTTAGGGAGAAAATATATAAATGATTAAATATGTAATAGAAATGAGTGATACGATTTGACGTTTGAGTTTGACAAATGGATGATGGGTGAGGTAAGTGATTGGTGATGGTTTTGAGAAAAAAAATATGACTGAGATAAAATTCAAACATACTCGTGTTTTATTATATAGATATATGTCTCTGTATCTTATGCTCTTGGTTCTTACCCATCTCTCTCTCTCTCTTTACATATATATATATATATATATATATATATATATATATATATATATATATATTTGTGTGTGTGTGTGTGTGTCACCCGCGAGAATATCGCCATACTATGCATTGATGTAAGAGATGGTAGGATTGTCGTAGGATTTTGTTTGGTTTTTTCTTTGATTAATACTTCATTTTTTGGATTATCTTTTGTCTGAAGTAATTTGCCGAGTTGGAGTGACAAGGACCTTACATCACTATATGTAAGGTGGTTACTTAATTTTGGCTTTGGAAAGGTCTTTAAAATGCAATTTTTATTTTTGGTGTCAAAAATGAATATACATGTAAATTATTTCACATATCTTTTAGGAATCATTATTCTTTAGCACTACACAGTTATCTACATGAGATTCCACCGCACTTACGTCGGAACCGAAATTAACATCTCACCACGTGCGCTAAGTGTTGAAGAGCAGGGTTTGCCTTATCGAATTGTCGTAACTATACAGTCTTGAACCCAAGTATTGAGTAATTTGAGTTTTTATCCACTAGACCACTTGCTCGATCTTTAAAATACAATATTTCGTGCATGGTAAAACTGTTGAAGTTACACCCCGAAAATATACTATTTTACATTTTATTTTAGTTGTATAATACAAATATAATGGTAAATTAGGGGTGGAATTACCTCCTATATATATATCATATCCCGTTCCTAAAAACACGAAAAAATATAAAATTAAAATAGTCAAAAATTTGATCACATTTTATTAAATAATAATTTTTACCTTCGTTATTTGATTATATATATTTCCCAATCTTGTACCCTAATCTATGGGGCAAACCAAAAGTTTACTGCAAAACAAGAATAATTTTCAACCTTCATTATTGCTTGTTGGGGCCCACTCATTTACGACTTTTTTTCATGCAAAAGTTTCTCGAGCTACTCAATGGCTGTATTAAAAAAAATGTTATATTTTCTAAATTTTTTTATTAAATTTTTTATTTTAAATAATGTGACATAATTTTTGTTATTAAATATTAATTATTATTTTTTATTTGATGGTAAAAAATTATATTATGTCATTTAGGACAAAAATTTAACAAAAAAATTTGATAAACGTATCATTATCCGGTAAAACTGTATGAAAAGATTTTGGGCGAAAACAAAGAGTCAAAAAATGGAGTACCCAAACTCACAAGTCACCGTCCCCACACAGACCCCGATCCGACGGCTTGAGTCCTGTAGACAGTCATGAGTAGAAACCACAAGATAATGACACGTGTGAGGATCGTGGACCGAGAAATGAATGATAGTGTAATCATCCTTAAATTATTTGACATTCTTTGGGCTGCACGCTGCACCTACTGCTGACTGTTTGCTGTACCACAGCTCTCTCTCTCTCTCTCTCTCTCTCTCTCTCTCACACACACACACGAGTGAGTAGCTTAATTCACCCTTAAAGTGGTTTCTGAGGTCAGTCTCCGTGAGTCTATGACAAGAAGACACCAGTTACCCCAGTTACTCAGCTAGGAGAGAAGATGATAAAAGAGAAAAAGCAAGGAGAGAAGAAGAAGCAGAAGAAATTATTATTATTTTTTTTAAAAACGTGAGTCTTCATGGGTTGGGAAAATTAAAATTGAAATGTTCATCTTCTTTCTTTTTTTTTTTTTTATTTGGTATGATAAAAAAAATTATTTGAGGGTTGAACTTTAGAATATTTCGTATTAGAAAAAAATATATAATTTTTATTATTATTTTAGCCCTCAAGATAAGTTAAAATATAAAATTTTTAGGAATATAACACGTGTCGCAACATTTCGATAACCCAATTGTGGAATAATGAATAATTAGTTGTACTATACTTTAGTTAAAATAAAGTAGGGGATAATATATATGTACCTAACTTTATTTTTGTATGCAAAGATATTATTTGTGAGACATAAATTCATGATTTCAAATCACGAGCTCATATGTATAACTCATATATGCCACTATCTTTGTTCACCGCATCATACATAACGTATAATCAAAATCCTTTAGTAAGCATAAAGAAGGGCATCCAAATGATCCTTTTTTTTCTTTTTGTTTCTACCCATTTTCCTTTGGTCCTTTATTTTTCAGTTCCTTTTCCCAGTTCATGTCATCTTTTCTTTCGTTTCCTTTGTTGGGAAAGTGTAAAGCCAGCGTGTGAAAATTCCAAGGAATGAATAAAGAGCTCCAACTCCTTTGGTAAAAATATATATTTCTTTTGTTAAATGTAAAGTGCCCCATTACACAATTACCAGGAATCCCTCTATCTCTCTCTCTCTCTAAACCTAGAACATACAAAATCAATTAGACTTCATATTTACGTAGGAATAGGAATATAATATGTTGATTTGGATCTCAAAGATTGATGTGAAGGACATGCCTTTTCCATCCTTTTGTTGCTTTCTGTCTTTCTTGTCTTCTTGTCTTTCTTTAGCTCACTTTTTCTTTTCCTTTCTTTTCTCTCTGATTTTTCCCAGTGGGTACCTGATTCTCTTCACCAGCTCCAGTCAGACATATAAGGATTTTCCGAATAACTGGTACACAGGAAGAGAGAGAAACAAATCACTGTGGCCTGCCTAAAGTGAACTCCAGATTGGGTTTCTTGGGGCTTGTTTCTGAAAGGCTTGATGACCTCATCTCTGATATTCTCTCATAACTCAAGCGTTTTCCATCCATGTCCTTCTGAAAATTACACAAACACACACACACACACACACACACACATCAGTATAAGAGTAACATAAGAGAATGTGAATGTATTTGACTGCGGAGATTAGGGAATATTTGTCAAGGTAACATGTTACGGTGCATGTTTCATGTGAATGTTCTCATTATTATTCCCAAAAACCATCTTTCAACACCCACCATATGCAGAAACACATAAGCATATGTAAGTGCATGTCATAATGGATAACAGAGATTTGGGCTTTCATCAATCCCAGCTGTTAGTGATTTGTAGCATCTACCATGACCCAATAATGCAGATGATTAGTGATCAAGTAGGTTTTTTTTACTTGATCAAGAGTTAGGGTACAAGGATTTAAGCATTTCTATTACTGTAGTTCACTTTTGTTTTGGTTTATAATTTTTTATATGACATGATAACATAACACGAATCAATACGAAATTTACGGATTAGAGTGGACTATTAGTTGGCCGAAATGTCCAGCACATGAATAATAAATTATTGAATTAATTTCATATATTAATAACGTGGTTTTAACAAATATATATATATATTATTTATTTTTTTTTGATTTCAGTATGAATCCTTGGATCCGTAAGTGATGAGTTTGGTTGAGAGGAAATGGAGTAGTATTCCTGGGTTGTAGTTCACGAGGTACACGTGTTTTCCTAACAAGATTCAATAGTAAATAAACCAGGTTCGTGTGAAATTATCTGACACATTAATCAAACAGAGTGGACTATTAGGAAACATATTCACACGAACTCAAACTGGCAAGACCAATCTGATACCACATGATCCAATTGACACTATCTTTGGACTAAAACAACTTAAAAGTTAAGATTTTCTCATGAACAATTTATTTTCTTGTGCTTTTAGTTTTTTTTAATTGCTATTGACCTTGAATTTGTACATGACTTGGCCGGCTTTTGAAAAGCTATTTTCTGATAGAATACAAGTATATATAGATTCCCTTGCATGGAGGCATCTACATACAAAGATCACTCATTAAACTTCCAAAGTGAAGGCCTACTCTGTTAGACTGAACAAGTGATGGGTACCTGAATAGATGTTATATTCCCTCCACAGTCCATTTGTTTCCCATGCAAACAAGCTTCTCTGCTGCAAATCAGTGATTTGTGAGAATATTTCCTATCAGTGGAAGCCATGCAGAAGAAAGAAAAAAAAAAAAAAAGCAAAGTGAGAAAAGAAAGCTATCTTTTACTGTCTTTGTTTATCCTCTCTCACTTTACATTTTGTCCTGATTGAAGTAAAGTTGCACCCACCCATGTGATAGTCCATTACCAAATAACAAAACCAGACGGAAGTTTCAAAGAGCATAGCTTTTGCACCAAAGATTTCAACAAATATGGGTCCATCAAATGGCTAAGCTTTGACACTAAGTTTCCTAGTTGTGGGTCCCATTTAAATGGCATTATCTGAGCCCACAAAATCCAGAGGACAGAGATATGTCTATTTCTAGGTTGATTTTAAAAATGTGATTCTTAGTCATGGAATGGTAGGAGGGTATATTGCTTTACTACTTCCTTTTCAACCACTAGAATGAGATTATTGCAACATCATGGAATTCCAATGTTGAAAGTGGTCGTGTGCAGAAAGAACAAAGTAATGATTTCATTTCTTCTTCTTTATGTGATCTGTTACACGTATGTGTATATTGTTTTTTGTGAATATGATTGTTGTTTCTGTTGCTGTTGTTGTTGTTTTTTGTTGTTGTGTGTGTGCACATATATGTATGCACAGATAGAGAGAGAGACATAGAGAGAGAGGGAGAGGGAGGGACTCATGCTCAATGTGGAAAAGAATTGTGTTCAAGCACATAAAAAGTTATGCTATATATATGAAACTTCGGCTATAAATCAGAGTTGGAATTCAACAAGCCACAATATTACTTCTAATTTGTCCCTCTTTTTTTTTTAATAAATCAATGATTAGATATAGGATTCGAATTCGGAAAGATAGTGCCCAAACAGAAAAGACCCAAAATAACAAAGGCAAAATCAGTAAAGGCAAATTCATGACAAATTTTTTCCTTTTTTTTTTTTTTCACATTCATGTTTCACTAGGAACTCGAAGTTAGACACTTAGGCTTAAGAATTTCAAAATATTTACCTTGTTCATCTTTTGCAACCTTAACAGAGACAAACAATGATGAAGTGCCCTTGAATAAACTGTACTACGCATGGTCATGAAGTAGATAGAAAAATAACAAAGAATCCTTAAATTAATCAAACAGAAATTTTTTGTTTGAAACTAATATGAGTACCTAGTTCAATGTATTTATTGGATTAAAGGTGTGCTACTATCGCATTGCTCAATCAAACAAGGTGCGGACTTTGTCCCCCCCCCCCCCCCCCCCCCCCCCCCCCCCTCCCCCTCTTTTT